GATATCCCTCATTTCGCAACTTAGCGAATGAATAGACGGAACATATTCTAATCCCTCCATATAGAAAACTCGGATTTTCTTGAAATCCACGGCAGTTTTAAGGCGGAGATCCGCAGCTTTCTCGCCTCCCAAAATCTGAGAGTAAAAGAATGTTGTTCATTGCTCTTAGGTATTCTATTCAATCATAATATTTGCGTTGAGTTAATAAACTTATACCAGGCGAGAGTATAAAAGATACCTCTAACATTAAGGGAATATCCTGGATATAGCGGCACATTGGACCAATTCGCATCATTTTAGTCTGGTAACCTACTGGGAAAGGGAGACTACCCTCAAGTGGGACCACACCTGAATTTTTGGATTTCTAAGACAGTTCAGCTCATAAAGATGAGCCCTTACCCGGTGTAGGTATCAAACCAAAAATACCATTCATGAAGGATGGTACACGAATACTACCAGCGATATCGGTACCAATCCCGATCTGAAAACAAACTTTTTTAAAGAAGAATTCTAGCCAACAGTAGTTGGATGCTTCAGATGGTTTCATCAAAACTAGGAAAACAAATTTTTTCAAACTTAGTTTTGAGGATTTTTAATGATAGTTTTATCAATCTCTCAATGCTAAACTTCTCTAAAATCTCTAATTTATTTTCCTTACAATTTTGTTCATGTAATTCGGCAATGACCCGACTTTTTATTGCACTGATATTTTAAATCACTCCTTTAATTAGAATAGTTAGGACGAATGTAATATTAATTAGAGAACTGTGAAAATCCTTGGGAATAACGTCGCATGAAGTGAGTAGAACAGCTCTTATTTACGCAATTAACAAAAAAAAAGTTTTTTATGGTTAATTTTTTGAGGTTATGCGAATTCTTTCCCAACTTATGTTGTTATATTAATGGGTAAAATTCATAAAATGTGCCATCCTTGTAGACACGTGAGGTTTATCTCTCATGTGGACTAACGGAATGGCTTTTCTTGCTTTTGCCTCCGAGGATTCTGACGATGTTGGGAGTCAACGCATCGCCAGGGGTAGAGAGGCAGAGGCACTTAAATTCACAAAAAGCTGAAATGCACAGCTGCGTATTTGAAGCTGGCAATTCTTATGCAGTTCTAGATAAATTCTGGAAAAATTTAGGTGTTCAAAGGGAATTTTGAATTATAAGTCCCATGAATATCACAATCAACGAAAATAAGGAGTATATAGTAAATTATTAAACTTGCATTTATCAAAGTGAAAAAATTGAGTTTTCTAAATGAAATATTAAAATTCTAACCACACTGCCTGCAGCAGTGATGAGTGCTCCTTCTCCACCACTGCTTCCTCCAGATGTTCTTCTCGAATCGTATGGGTTGCTTGTTTTCCCATAGATTCCATTTGAGGTTTCAACCCAGTAACATGCTTCTGGGACATTTGTAATAGCAAGTAGGATCGCACCAGCTGCTTGCATCCTAAGCGAAAATTAAATGTGCAACAACAAATTTGAATTTCTTGATTGCATGATTCTATAGGGAGATATACTAATTTGAGACGTGAGATGTTTTCAACAAGATATCTATTTTTATATCCTAGTAAAGGGAATTTTTAACTTTAAGCTTTCTCTATAACAAA